CTCCAAGGGGCAGTGGAGCTGAATTCGGCTTCCCCGGGGCCGTGCGGCTTTGACGGTGAAAGTCCAGGAAAGGGGAAAAGGTGGAAGAGAATGTTTCAGAGAAAACTAATTTTGCACCATAAGGACATTTTCCGTTAGGGGCAGGAGAGCTGAGTTCTCTTGTTCTACCACTCCGACGTAAGGGTCCCTTGGCCTTTTCTCCACCCGTGTATGGATGGGTTTCTCCCCTTGTTCAGGTGGTTCCTTATGTCACGACAATTTTTGGTGGCCTGCGTGCAGGCAAGATGGTCATGCTACAAGGAGAGGTACCCCTAGATGCACGCAGGTAAGGGAGTGCTCATCCGCTTGGGGGTTCCTCTCTGCCTTCCGGTCTCTGGGGCCTCTGACCGGAAGTTCCCTCTGAAAGCCCCGCCTCCCACCAGGTTCCAGGTGGATTTCCAGTGCGGCTGCAGCCTGCATCCCCGGCCGGATATTGCCATCCACTTCAACCCTCGCTTCCACACCACCAAGCCCCACGTCATCTGCAACACGCTGCACAACGAGCGCTGGCAAGCCGAGGCCCGGTGGCCCCGCTTGGCCCTGCAGAGAGGAGCCAGCTTCTTCATCCTCTTTCTCTTTGGAAATGAGGAAATGAAGGTAAATGGGGGTGTCTAGAACATGTGTCCTTCTGCCCCACCCTTCCTTCTGCGGAGTTCCCCATGTCACTGTGTTAAAGAGAATGGGGTGAGAGGTCAAGTACAGAGAGGACCAAGGAGTTGCCGAGCCCGGGTCCCAGCAGTCCTGGGCCCACACCGCCTGGGACTCGTGGGAACTCTGTGGTGCTCGTCCCTGGAGAGGGTGCCACTGTCATAGTCGCAGTAAGTCAGGAGCACCTGCAGGGTGCCGGCACTGATCTAAGCCCCTAAATATCGGCTCACGGAATCCTCGCCATGACCTATGAGGAAGGTACCTCCATTCTCCCCCATGTCACAGCTGAGGGGCCGGGCACTGGGAGAGAGAACTTGAACTTGGCCTCCGGGCTTTCACTGCTGATGTGAACCCCCGCCAGAAAGATGACGGGATTCTCGAACTTCTCTAGAGGGAAGAAGCTTGTGGGAGACACGAGTGGAGGGAGAGACTGTGGGCTAGGGGTCCACACAGCCTCCTGAGCCTCCTTTCCTCACCTGTGCCTGGGGATGCTGCCGCCGCCACTGGCAGGTCTGCGGAGAGGCAAGAGGAGGGTGGGTATGGGGACGTGCAGTGTCAGGGAAGAGAGAGGCATTGAAAACTGCCTCGGTTCTGAGGCCAGCTCTGCCACCCGCCAACTCTGCACCTGGGGAAGCTCACTGAGGCTCCACGAGCCTCGGGCACTTTGTCTGTAAAATGTACCTGCTTCACAGAGTTGGGGTGAAGCTAAATGAGGAAAATTCCAGGTAAGAGCGCTCACCAAGGCGTGGTCCAAATTCAGCGAACAGCCCCTGTGTGTGCCTCCAGGTGAGTGTGAACGGACAGCACTTTCTCCACTACCGCTACCGGCTCCCGCTGTCTCGTGTGGACACCCTGGGCATATTTGGTGACATCTTGGTGAAGGCCGTTGGATTCCTGAACATCAACGTAAGTTCCCTTGGAACCAAGGCCTGGGTGACAGTGTCTGCCGACTTCCTCTGGTGCCTGGACAGGCCCGGGACCCCTTCCTGCCTCTAACAAGCCCTGTCACACCAGTTACAGCCAAGGTAGAGGGGCTCCACTGAGGTGTCGGATATGAGTGGGGTGAGGGGAAGAGAAGGAGACTGCAGAAGGGGCCCAAGAGCCTCGGGCAAAAGTCCATACTGGGCGTGGGGCCTGGTCAACACGGAGGAGCAGTGCCCGGGAGGAGAGTCACTCAGAGACTTGGAGCCGCGGGGCCCAGACATAGCAGCTGGCTGCATCACTCCCGCCTGAGCAGCTTATTAAACACGTAGCGTTCTGGGGCCGGCCACCAGAGATGCTGATTTGGTATGTGAGGCGTGGCCTAAGGATCAGCACGTTCATGATGCCGGGTTTGGGACCCTCCGAGGAGGCCCGTAGGGAGGACGAGGAGCCGTCAAGGCTGAAGCGGCCTCTGTCCATCTCCCGGGCTCAGGCAGGGCAGCTGGCCCACAGAGTTTACAGTGGCCCCGAATCCTGTTGTTGCTTTTTCTCTTTCCAAACAGCCATTTGCAGAGGGTGGCAGCGAGTACCCAGTTGGACATGTGAGTCTCTTGCGAGCAAATTGGGCCCTTGTGGTCCCAGCCACGGGAGCTGAGCCTCTGGTTCTCCGTCCTCCCCCAGCGTGACCTGCCCCTTGCTGGGCTGCTGATCCCCTTGCACAGGCCCAGCTCTCCTTCCCCCACTGCGCAGTTGCCATGGATACAGCTGGCTCTGCCTCAGTCCCTGGAGAGCCGGGATTTGCCCCTCCCAGCCAGACTCCAGGAGCAGCCTGGGAAGGTGGGTGGGGATGGGATGGCTGCCCAGGATGGGCAGGGCCCAGTATTCCTATCAGAAGATCCCTTTAGGTTGGAGCTTTCGATTCCCAGAGCAACCCCTGGAGGGAGCTGGGGTTGGCCTGAAGGGCAGAAGGGGAGGTGAGGCCCAGGTACTTGCCCAGGGCCACGTAGTGAGTGAATGACAGACCCTCCTCCAGTTCTTCCCGTTACTCCAGAGCTGGTGTCCATCTGAGTCCAAGAGGATCACATGGGGCTCCAGTCCTTCACCTGTGGTGTCTGTGAGGGAGACAAACCCCAAACCTCCCCTACTGTAATAATATCAAGAGGTTCCCTTTCATGAAGCAGACACCATGCGACCTCCACGTCCCTCCTTTCTTTCCTTGACAGCCTTTCCAGCTGAGGAGCCCCAGGCTGGTGAGTGACCTCCTTCCTCATTCTGGTGGGGGTGTAGTCCCTCACCTGCCCCATGGGGGTGGCAGGGCACCCCCACCTAGTGGGAAATGCTCTCAGCACCCTGCATAGAAAGTGCAGGCTGGGGTGGGCCGACAGCTTCAGGTCGAAGCTCCAGCTTCATTGGACCTTTCCTCCATTTATTCTGCATATAATTATTTGATTCTCTTCTGCGTCAGGCCCAGTGTCAGACTCTAGGATAGAGAGACAAACCAGCCCCAGGCCTCCAGTGGCTCACGGGCTGCTGAGGTGGCAGACCAATGAACGGGCCATTACACTTTGGGGTGCAGCGACGGGGGACATATATGATGTCACAGCACAGACAGGCACCCACTCAGCCTGGAAACGCCAGGGAGAGCAGAGTATAGGGGGCCAGGCCTGCAGGAAGCGTTCAGTAAATGAGCAGAGCTGAGTCTCCTCCTGGCAGAGACTCACCTGCTCCAGCACCACTCCCAACCCCTGCCGGCCCCTGAGGGTGGCCCACGAAGCTGCTCCTGGGGACAGCAGCTTTCCCTGATCCCCTCTGTGAGTCATCTCCTTTGTTCCTTCAGGAGGTACCCTGCTCACGTCCCCTTCCCCGGGGTCTGTGGCCCGGACAGGTCATTGTGGTGCGGGGGCTGGTCTTGCCAGAGCCCAAGGAGTAAGTATGAAGATGGAGGGAGGGAGAAGCATCTCTGGGCCAGGCATGAGCTTCGTACATGGGCATTTCCTCGTTAGTCACCAATGCCACCATTTAATCCCCGTCTAGCAGATGAGGAGACAGCATAGAGGGGAGGTATGCTGCGTGGTGTCACAGGGCTTGTAATAGGCCGGCTGGGATTGCGACCAGGACTTGGGCTGCTTTCGTGGCCCCAGAAGCTCTAATTCTGGGAGCATCTTCCTTGCTAGTATACCAGGTCAGGGCAACCAGCCTCTTGTCACAAGTCCTCCCTAGGGCCTCAAGAAAGGCCCTTGAAAGGTGCAGGCTGAGACCTAGAGAGAGGATGCCACCTCCCATGATGACACAGGGCGTGGTTTAGGAAACACAGCCCACTGGCCCCAGAGGGAAGCCCTGGTGCTGTGAAGTGGGGACTTGGGAGGCCACAGTAACCAAGTGAATTCTCCACCAAGGGGCGCTCCTGCTCCTTTTCTCAAAACTGCAGGCTCAAAGGGTTTCTCTTTTTCCTCCTTCCCTCCCCTCCCCTCCCCCTCCTTTTCCTCTCCCATTTCCCTTCTCGTCCCTCTGTCTTTCTTCTTTCTGGAATTGCATTGGGTTTCATAACTTTTCTGGGCTAGATTGCCTGGGTTTGGCTTCTGCTGAGGACACTTGCTACCCAAGCAACTTCAAGGTTATTCCTTTTCTGTGCCTCAGTTTCCTTGTCTATAATAAGGGGTGATAATAGGTCTGGCTTCAGGGGTGATATTGTTGCAGAAAAATCAGACTGACAAGAAACCAAGCACCACTCGGAGCGTTGGAGAACTCAGGTTTATTACACCAGCGGCCCCGGGAAAGCTAGCGCTCTGAAGATCTGGGCCCTGAGCTCACGGGAACCTTGCTTTTATAGGGCTTATATCCATGCAGTTACAGTTGGCATGGGCCGATTGATTAATTTGTCCTCAGGTGGTTACAGAGAGCAGGAGTTGCTGTGGGCTACAGGCAGTTATTAGGCAATACAGCTGTTATCTAGACAGAACAAGCAGAGGGGAGGGTGAGTCTTCAGTTGATCTCAAGGTCACCCTGCCCTTTGGCCTATGTGGCAAGCACGTCTACAGAAGCAGAACAAAGAGCCGATTACAAGGTTAGCCATTTGAGTGGAAAATCCCTCTTCAGTATAAATGCTTAGAATTGTGCCGGGCACATAGCAAGCGCTCCACAAATGTGGTGGTATCAGAATTTTCTTGCCGGAGGCGGGGAGTAAGGGGAGCGGCCGCTGTTCTACTCTTTCTCCTTTCGTTTTGTGTTTGAAGTCACTCCCCTCACTAACCCCTTGCCCTGCACACTCTCGCATTCTTGGCCAGGCATGCTCATAACCCTGGACAGCATGAGCCTCCAAAGCCAGAGCTGGATTCCTTATTTTGCCTCTTTTAAACTGTGGTCTTGGGCAAATCACTACACTCCTCTGGGTCTAGAATCCTGAGTTTCTCCATCAGGAAAAAAAAAAAAAAAGAGAGAGAGAGAGAGAAACAGAATCCCAACCCTATAGGGAAAATGAAATAGTTCCCAGTGATGGAACTGCCCCCCCATTCCCCCCCCCCCCCGCAAAAAAAAAAAAAACTTGGAGACATGAGACCAGGTTGATATTGTAGCTCAGGGTCACGTGGTTATTAGTGAAACAGCAAATAATTTAACTGCTCTCTTGCGAGGCCCATGAACTTGTGTGCCCTCAAAGGCCTGACAGGTCACGTGAACAGTGAGGCACCTGGTTCACTGTAGGAAGCTGGTGAAGTGAAAAGAATCTTTCCATGGGCCCACTCAGATCTTCTGATTATTTCTAGAGAGAATCTAGAAGCCATCTTTTATCTAAACTCTCGCCTTTTTTAATATGCTATTACTTTAAAGTTGAAGAATAGCACTGGCCAACCAGAACAGTTCTACAGGCCAGTTTGGCCGTGGGCCACCAACGTCCAGACGGCACAGTGCCAGCCCTGAGCACAGAGCCTACAGTAAATGTGGCTGCGGCAGCAGCTTTGAAAGTGACTGTGTCTTGAATTGGACAAATGGAGCGAGAATCGGAGGTCGTGGGGTTTGTTTGCACAAAACGTGTACCCTTCCTCTCTGTCCTCTCCCCGCAAGCACTGAGGTTGGGGGGCTCCTGTCGCAGCCTCAGAGTGCTTCAGCAGAGCTTCACCGGCCATCTGGATGGAGCCCGTCACCCCACCGAGGGCTGTGCCGGACGGGGCTGAGGTGGGAGGACTGAGGACTCCAAGAGTTTTCAGGCCAATGGCAAGACGTCGCCTTTGCTTGGGAAGAGCCTGGGGAAGGGGTTTGGGGCGGGGCCTGGCCAGCTCCCGGCCTCAGCGGGGTGGAGGCTTCATGCAGGCCACGCTCCAGGGTTCCTGCCTTCTGAGCTTCTGCCCAGCGTTCAGCCCAGAGCCCCTGGGAGTGGCCTGAAAGGCCCACCGGGACGGGCATGCCATGCACTTGGCCCGCCATGTGGATCCTGCTTCTCTTCTCAGCTCCCAGCCACTTCCTGCCAAGTCTCAGTCAAGGTGACTGTGGACACAAAGCAGCCTGTGTCTGCCCTGCCTGAGAGAGGCAGCCGCGAGGCAGTAGAGAGAGTGCCCCAAACCTGGAGTCCTGAATCCTGAGTCACATCCTGGCCCGAAGCCCCACAGCTGTCACTAGCAACAGAGCAAGTCCTTTAGCTTCTCGTCCTTGTCAGTCAAAGGGACGTCACTCATGGCACAGGATTTCTGTGAGAAGTCCAGAAAATCGACGGTAGCGTCGACAACACCTAGTGTGTGCCAGGTACTTGCTGAATTTCACATACACCATCTCCTTTGCTCCATCAGTGGCCCTGTGAGGTACGTGTTGTGTTTTATGGCATTATCTTTAAATAATAGGTGCGATACAAGTGTTTATTATATACCAGGTACCTTCTAACACTTTGCACACATGTGGCAAGTCGTTTAATTCTCACGACCACCCCACAGGCAGGTGCAGTACTGTTGTTATCCCCCACGATACAGATGAGGAAACTGAGGCACAAACACTCGCTTGCCCGAGGTCACCGGACTAGAACGTAGCAGAACCAGCGTTGAACCCAGGCAGCCTCGCTCTAACCCCGATGCTATTTGCAGAGCGCGTAAGCCACTCCCTGGCACGTGGCACTTAACAGATGTGAGCTGCTACTATTGTAACTATCCCCCTTTTGAAGAGGACAGACTGAGGCCCAGGCAAGGTCATTTGCTCCCCCATCGTCCTGCAGCCAGTAAGTGGCAACCTGGGGATTCCATCTCAGATGGGAGACACGATCAGGTGTTTCCACTCTGAGCTGTTAGGTGACTAAGCGCTTGTTTCTGAGGTGGAACCTACCCAGTCTCCCAGCCACTCCCCACCGCCATCCCACCCTTCAGGGCCCAGCAGCAGCAGCCAGGGGTGGGGCGTGGGAATCAGGGAGCCACGGCCTGGGGGCTCCGAGAGCTGAGCCTTCTCTGGCCCTTTCCCGCAGTTTCACGCTGAGCCTGCTGGATGAGGCCGCCCATGTTCTGGTGACACTCAGGGCTTCCTTCACGGACAGAACTCTGGCCTGGGTCTCGTCCTGGGGACGGAAGAAGCTGATCTCGGCCCCCTTCCTCTTCTACCCCCAGCGATTCTTCGAGGTGAGTCAGAGCCAAGGATTCCCATCCTGGGGGCAGGGAAGCTGAGCTTGCTGGGGAAAACGTCCATGCCAGGGGCCCGACCCTCCACACTGGTGCCGGGCGCCCCGCCCGCGCCCAGGAACCCCGGCACAACCAGTCGGGGTGGCCCAGGCACGGGCATTACTAAAAAGCCTCACAATGGCCCCAGCATGCAGCCGGTGTGGAGAACTCTCCTCTAGAGGAAGCTGCCCATTACAGATGGTGAAACTGAGGCCCAGGGCTGAGAAGAGCCATGTGGATCTTGACAAGCTGGGCCCTAGCCCTGTCCTGTTCCACCGCTGGGCGCCCTGTGGGTCCTGTCTCTGTGTCCTCCGAGGGGAGGAGTGGCTCGCTGGGGGCATGGGGCAGGCAGCAGAGGGTCCGTCGGGAAGTCTGCAGCCCTCACGCCCTCCCTTCCCAGGTGCTGCTCCTGTGCCAGGAGGGAGGGCTGAAGCTGGCGCTCAACGGGCAGGGCCTGGGGGCCACCAGCCTGAGCCAGCAGGCCCTGGAGCGGCTGCGGGAGCTCCGGGTCAGTGGTGGCGTCCAGCTCTACTGTGTCCACTACTGAGCGGGGAGTCGGGGTCGAGGATGGCCAGCCCGTGGCCTGGGGCCACCCTCTCCCCTCATTAAAGTGCCCACCTGGTGCCCCTGCATCAAGCTGGGCTCACTCTGGGGCCACCAGCCTGAGTCTGCCGCAGAGGCCAGGCCCGGGGTGTGCAGGCTCCTCCCGCTCCAAACGTCCTGGAGCCGGGGGCTGGGCTCCGTCTTCCTTCAGGGCCGAGAAAGAAGGCAGATTTGCAGCCTAACAAAGACTCAAAACACAGGGGCTTAAGGGATTCGGATGTTTATTTCCTCTCATCTAACATTTTTGGAGCCGACGGTCCACGTCCAGGGGAGCCTCTCTGTTGTCCTTGTCATCGTCCCATCACCCTTAGGACATCCGCGTCATCTGTCTTCCAGCACTTTGCCGCACGTTTTATTGTTGTAAGAACCGGTGACATAGACGGGATAGAGGGTGAAGCGTGGCGGAGGGGCGCCGTTCCCGTCCGCGGTCACGGAGCTGGTCCATGGGGCGCAGAGCCACCACCAGGCCTTGTCTCCTGGTCAGCGCATGCGCCCAGCGTTCTCCGCCGATGCTCCTCGCGACAACAGGTCCCAAAGCGCACCGTGCTATCCCAGGAGGAGGAACACCGACCTGGGTTCAGATCCTGACGCCTCCGTGAGCTTAGATTTCCCGGGTTTGGGCAAATTCAGTGTGCCCCTAGGGAGATGGCAGCGACCCGGCAGAGTGGTTGCGAGAACTGCGAATCGAAGTTGCTGAAAATGCCCCGTACCGAGTGGGAACTCGGTGAATGGTGGCTCTGATCGACGTTCTGAGAAATACGTTGGCCCCACTGATGTCACCAACACCTCATCTCCAGCACGAGCCGGACCTTAGAAAACGAAGGGTCTCACCGGTGGCGACAGCCTCACGGGTCAGTGACAAAGTGCTCACTGCTGCTCACGGGTCTACTCCATCCGTTCAACAACCTGCCCCTCCGCAGCCCCGACCCCCTCATCCGCCGGCCAGCGTCTGGATCATGTAGTCCAGGGGGCTGTAGACCGGTTGCTTAAGGATGTGATGAACTTCCCTGGGAATCACAGACAGACAGACAGACTCTGGGTTCCAGAGGGTGTCAGGGTGTGGTGCAGAAGGAGGGGACAGGTCACTCACGGCCAACCTTTCACTGATCTCCACCTCCCCTTCTCTCTCTCTCGTTATCTGTACGATTCAGCGACTCAATGTGCCCTGCTCTGTCCACCTGATTGTTCAGGGGACAGCTGTCCTTAACTCCCCCTTTTGTGCCAGGCCCCATGCTGACGTTTGACATGTTATCTCCTGTCATCCCTCCCTGTCCCAAAGGGGTATTACCACACCCTCCTAATGAGACTGTCTCCTGAGCCTAGGGGAGACTTAGTAGCAGGTCTGAGGTCTCTTCTGGGATGTGGAGGAGCCAGGATTTGCAACCAGGATCCACACTCGAGAGCCGTGGCTCCCTCCATGGAGCCGGGCTGATGCCGTGCAGACCTTTTGCTGTGCTGTGGGGATTAAGGAACCAGCCTTTCATATCTTTGGGATTGTGAGCAAAGTGGAAATTGTCACCTTTCCCCCAGGGCCAGAGTAGTGGTAGCCATGGTGACCCCACTGGAGGACGGCTTTTTCCTGGGGGCCACTTTCTGGGGAGGGTTGCTGGTGGTAGAGGCAGCAGCATAGCAGCCTGTGAGATGAGCGTTCTGGGGCTCATTATTTCTGAGCCCACACGTGGGGCATGCAGGGAAATAGCTGGGATTCGTTTTGAGGAAAGATAATTTCCAGAAATCCTGGAGCAGACTGACCCAGGTTAATTTGGGCACTTAAAGTACAATGACTTCATATAACAGCCACAGCTAAGTAAAGGCTAGACTCTTTGTGATAAATAACATCCAATGGAAAGTGACCGAAAGAAGTCCCTGGAGTTCTCGTGGAAGACGTCCTTCTGGCAGGGATGTTGGAGTCAGGCACCAGATGCTGGGGTTGGCCAGAGGAATTTTAGTTCCTTGCCTACCTCAAGAGTGAAATAATAGCAAGGCAGAAATAAAGTGCATTGAGCAAATTTATCGAGCATCTGCTCTTGGCCAGGGATCATGCTAAGGCATCTTACATCATCTCATGTTATCTCAACGGAACACAATGAAGCAGTTATTATTGCCCCCAAATTATAAATGAATAACCCAAAGCTCAGATTTTAAGAGCTTTTCCCAAGATTATACAATTAATTGCAGCTGCTTCCTTTCTGAAGCTTGTCGAGTCAATTAAGTAGTGGAAGTATTTGATGAAGGGGTCACTGGATTCGTTAGCTTGATCCTTCAGGATGCTCACAGTCTTGTCATAATTCCAAAAGCCAGTGAGAGAGAATCAGGCACAGCTGGTCTGCAAAGCAGCCTCTAACTCCAGAATTCTTAATGGCTTCAAGCCGTTATTACTTTTGGTGAGTATTTCTCAAAGAAGACCCATGATCGCTGTCAAAGCCAGAGACATTCCAATAGATGTCCCTGTACAGTTCATACTCTGAAAAGTAGAACCGTGAATTAGAGTCACAGGAAGGTACAAGACTGACGCTCCCTCTCCCTCAAGTCACACGAAGACAAACCAATTCTCCCCTCCGTCCCAAAGACCTCTCTCCAGGGAATAAGTTGACTGTGTCCCCAGGAGCTCACGCTTCAGCAGCTCCCCCTGGGGGATAAGGGAGCCCTGTCTGGGTCCTGGCTCATTCCTAGCTCTCCTTGACAACACACAAGACTTTTCAGGATCTGCCCTCAGGGCTGAGCTCAGAGGCAAAGGACGGCAGCCAGGCCCTCCCGCAGAGGCCCTCCATCCAACCCTTCATTCTGCACATGAGGAAACTGAGACTCGGGGGGAGCGGCCCCTCCGAAAACTCTCAGTGGGTTAGAGAGAGTTTGAGGTCAGGTGTCCTCTATTTATAGGCAGCTCAGTACTTGGGAGGGATTCAGATAGAAGGTTGGATGAGGTGGCACTGAGAAGTCAGGGACTAGAGCAGAGGTCCCCAACCCCAGGGCTGCGGACCAGTACCAGTCCGTAACCTGTTAGGAACCAGGCCGCACAGCAAGAGGTGAGTGGCAAGTGAGCAAGCAAAGCTTCATCTGTATTTGCAGCTGCTCCCCAGCGCCAGCATCACTGCCTCAGCTCCACCTCAGATCGTCAGGCGTTAGAGTCTCGTAGGAGCACCGGTCCCTGGTGCCAGAAAGGTTGGGGACCACTGGACTAGAGGGCCCTAGTGCATGCTGGTGGGAGGCAGGAGAATGTGTAATATGGCAGCTTCAGAGTAACAGGATCTATGCTGATAAGCCTTAGATAAATCATGTGACTTCTGTGAGCCTCAGCTTTCTCTTCTGTTGAAAGGAATACAAAATACTGGTCCCCAGCACCCTGCAGGCTTGTGGGAAGAGCAGCTGTCAGTAACGGCAAGCAACTCACACGAGCTAAGCTTCTCAATTTTCACAGCACTTTCCCAATCAAACTATGAAGCGATGGCACAGAGATGCTTGCCTGTTTTCTGGATGAAGAAACCAGGTGCAGTCAGTAAAGTGATCGAAAGCAGTGGGACCAGTGGGTGCAACACTGGTTTTTGAGTTAAAGCAATTGGTTCACATTCTGAAGTGTCCATTTAGCATTGGTGACCTTGGGCAAGTTGTGTGCTTGGCCAGTCAGTATTTGTATAAGAGCTGTCAGGAGGGCTCCGCTGATATTTGCCAACAGCTGCCCCATATCTTCCTGTAAACAGAACCCCCCAAAGAATCACCCTATCGGTGATTGTTAAATTGTTTGCTACATAACTTTTATAACTTACATACTTAACTATGTGTTGCAAACATGTTCCCATAGCAACAGACTTGGAACTATGTCATAACTTGGAATCTGTTGTGCATCTCGGTCGTTTAAACTTGTTCTCGAATATGGACAATGATATTATAAAAAAATATACACAAATGGTGCGTTTGGGGGCACGTGTCATTCTCAGACAAGTTTTTGAGTTTTTTGAGTGTCTACCAGTAAGAAACAGGTCTCATTCAACCCTCTTACAATCCTCCCAGGCGAAAATGGCTGTCTCCCTTTCATGGAACCAATCTTGACCCAGAGAACTTAACTAACATACCCAAGTGACAAAAGCTGCAAAGCAAGGATTTGAAAGAACTCCAAAGGCCCAGCGATGTCTGCCCTATTGTGTAGAAATTGTGTGGCTTGATGGCAAGAGAGTGCTTATCATTTTCTTACCTCCTGGCTTGGTTCTAGACACTTAAGGGAGGGTCACAACAGAATTGTCAACTGATGGAGTCCACGTTCCATTACTTCCTGAATGAAGATCGAAGATCTTATCATTCAAAGGGGAACAGATGCTAATTACCACAAAACTGAGTTGTTCTTTTGTTTCTGGTTTTCAACATAAGCCTGGTGTTTAAACAAATAATTCATCTTTACCTGAAATGGTCACGTGGACCACACGGCCATCTTCCACATAGATGGCCCAGTGCTTATAGACACCTCGAGAAACGGCAGTCATGTCTCCAGGTATGGAGTCTTGGCGTGACCACAACAGAAAAATCAGAGAGAATACAAAGAGACTTGTAGGAAACACCGGGCTTGGCCGGGAGAGCTGAAGAACTACTAAGCGCCATGCAAGGCCTACTGGTGTGGGAGACCCCACTGACTGCTGGGATCGCCAGCTTTGCTGTCACTCTCGGAGAAACCCCTTTGGGGGCATGAGAGACAGGAAGCCCGGACAGAGGATGGACTGAACCCTTTGCTTCTCATTAGATTGGCCCTCCAGGTCCTCGCACATTCGTCCTGCCCCATTTTTGGGTATTGACCTTGTCTGTTACTTTCTGTTCTGATGCTTCGACATCCCGAGCCTTACTGAACCTGGAGCGACCGCCCCTCTCGGGTCTAGCCAATTCTTGAAGATCGGACCGCTCACCCAAAAACGTGCTTTCGAAAAGCAAAGCGACCAATCCGGAGCCCACACCCCCAAC